TTAGTCAACACCCATAATCTCATGACATCCTGATAGCTTATCAGCGGTTTCTAGGTTCTCTCAAGAACTATATTGAGCGACCATCAACTCGCTGTCTATCACATTATTCTGAACTATAGAACAACTTCAATTTTCTCTCTTTCGTCAAACATACTTCCACCAAAACATCGTTACATAATAAGTTACGTTGAGAAACCGTGTATTTCAGCAATTATATCCTACCCTAAGGAAGTGAGTTGAATTCCTCAGAAGAACTATTAAAATAGAAGTTAATGTTAAAGTGTTTCTCAACGTCAGGCAGAACATAGAATATTATCTTTCACTCTTTTAGGCAGGCCTCATAACACAAAACGAGGAACATTCCTTTTGCCGTACGGTATACTACTATACAGATTTTAACTGCTCCGAACAATCCTGGTTTTAAGGGTTCAAGTGTTTTTTCACTTTTAGCTGCATAGCGAATTTTGTTTGCTACATTACCTTTTTTTCTGAAACTTATATTTTTAGGAATAAACAGAATTCGATATTTCTAAAAACAACCTGCAACTTGCTTACTCAGACACTCACAGAACTACTTATAAGTTGGCACTAAATGGTGAAAAGTACTGTGAACATTATAATAATTATTGTTTCTCACAAACCCTATCCTTTTTTTAACTTTTTGCCTCAAACTGAGACATCTTCAATCCACCTGCATCAACAACACGACTCAGTATTTTCTATACTGCAATCCACAATTTGAAAGATAAAATAATACAGTCAATTATCACATTAATCATCGGTGTGAATTTCGTCTTCTGCATACCTATTAGTTTATCTGCACCGATATGAACGGCCAAACAGTGCTATTTTCATTTATCTAATTTCCACCTGGCAATTTTTTTTCTGATGACAAGTTGTCAACTTTTTATCATAACAAAGCCTGATAGTAACATAACTGTTTAACCCTTCACAGAAATGAAGCAGCTATGATTTCAATTCAAATATTCCTTTCACTGGTTTGTTTAATTGTGCAAACGGTTTTTTTTAAAAAATATTCTTGTTAACATGATTGCTATTTTTTAATCAAACATTTATAACAGCCAGTGTCAGTTTCCAGTATCCTCATCCTGACAAAGAGATACAATTCCACGAGTTGAATGATTTACATGCGCCTGGTTCATAAACAACAATGTGATTGTGTGTATACTTGAGATTATATTTGAATCGTGCATACTTAAATTCCAGGAATCCAGTTTTTTATCTCTATACTAGATCGTTTTGATGTGTCTCGCAAGGCGCTAAATAACTGAGGTTGTTAAGACCACACGAACGATAAATAACCACCTGTTCACGTTTATTTCAAACAAGTATTATCATCTGAAGCTACTTCATATTGATCGTCAGTGGAAATAATCCCACCGCCTTCGATGTTAATTTTCAATATTGATGATAAGTCTTTGAATAATGGTTTCAGATTCAAAACAAAGTTATCTAGTTAAATATTGTTATGTATTTAGTATAAGAAATGAGGAACAAAATTACACTACTGTTAAATTAATTAAGTTTATTATTTTGCGAGAAAACAATTATAAGCATTTGAAAATGTTAATCAAGTTAAAAAAACATTACTGCCAACAAGTTAAAACATTGTTTCAAAGTAGAAGTTTCAAGTAGAAATCAATGATTTCTTTATAAAGTATGGAGCATATAGGCTTCAGTTTGCAATTACTCTTTCTCATAACCGTAACAGCTATCCTCATTTTTCAAAATATCAGCCAGTCCTTCAATCAAATCCACAAATTCTTGTTCTAAGAATGAGAATAGTTAACGAAACTTATAAATTACCTTTCATAACCTCCAATCTTTGAAATTCTATATCTTTTATTTGGTATCCTATTTGATCTTAAGTTTGAAAATAAATTAAAACACCGTTTTACTGTTATATTTTTTCACTAAAATTTTATAAATATCATATGGAAAACTTTTTTATTAAGTTCGAAAGAAAAAACTGTAATATACGAAAATGAGATGAAATTTTACATGAAAGTATAGATTGCTATCATCCATCATCTATATGTTGAATGTCGGTCTTCAGCTCGAATGAAGGAGTAAAGCTATTTGTAGAAGCAAACTGAAAGTGAGCGATTGCAAACAAGTAGCCAGTAAATTTCATTTTTATTCACTCAAACGTTCCTCTGTCAGTTTAGGGGTCGTCATTTAAAATGGTTTTCATGTCAAATATAGATCACTGAGTTACTTTCAAAGTAAAGAAATCGATACCAAATGTAAAACACACACCGACAAATGAAATTAGAGTTCTCGTACAGTGTACGGGAATTAATTAATCGTTCATGTCACATTTACATTGGATAGATACACTCTGATTATACTTGAAGTGTGTGTAACCTATCAGAAATTGTCTAGTCCAAACGATTATCTTTAAAAATAGATACTTTAGTTATTTGGTCACGAAGAACTACGCAATCGCTTATCCACCATAGCAACTGCCGGCATGCTTTTGAAAGAAAAACACAAAATGCTTTTATATGGTGTCAACTCAGTAATACCGTATTTCCCCAACTTGATCATGATAAAAGGGTATCACATCGAATTCCACTAAATGCTTTTCGACCTCTATCGTTAAGAATGGAAAACATGAAAACCAGCTGAATTAGAAGTCGCGGTCAATTCTCGAACAAGTATCAGCTGAATGAATTCTGTACTAATCCATTTGTTCCGACCGGAATACAACATTATGAATCATCGTGCGATAATTGGTTGAATGAATGTCATTAACAAACACCAACTTCTTTGACTAATGTAAAGCATTTACACAGTGACTATGAATACATTTGGTAGGTTTTGACCGTTGCTCAAAATCTTACATCATTCTTCTGATAGATTCAACTGGAAAATTATGTATGGATGACAGCGCACAGATTCACTGGATTAAGGACCGATTTCAGACAACGTTACTCACTCCTAGATCAATCATATCCAATCGCTTTAAGACACACATTATAGAAATCTGCTAAGTGTTTTGCGAGGTAAGCTTCAGTATAAAATCTTCAAACCCAAAAGAAAAGTATTTGTCGGAAAAAGGAACATCGAGGAAAACAATTACAGAAATGAAAAGAAAGAATAAAATTTGAAATGAAATGGAAAAGAGAGCACAAGTGAGATTTCGTTTGCAAATCAATGTCGGCACCGGCGGTACGTTTTTAATTTCGATTGTTCAATAACGATTTAATTTGAAATTCTCAAACACTGTATATAATAATAAATTTGACGTTTAATAAAAAAAGATCTCAATCAGATAAATAATGCACAGACTTCTACTCACAGGCGCCATCATTTACTTCTTGACTATGTGTTATATATTGAACCCATTTTTGTCGGTTACCTATGAAATTAGATTTGATTATTGAAAAGCATCTGTATTGTCATGTGAAAATTGTTCTATACAATAGTATTATTGAAAATCTGCTTCGATCTTTATTAACTGAATAAAATTATAGTACAAACTGAAACCAATAAATTGGGAATTCATGAACACTTATGATAAAATAAGTGCATTCATTCACGAACAACAAAATCAAGCATATTGGGCTGATATGTTGATTTATCACCGTTTAGTGTAACAGAGCACGAAATGTAATGACCTATTTGTACAAAAAAATCATTTAATTCTATTCACAAATATAATCATATTTGTAGTGATATGAAAACATTGAATGTTGATTTATTAAGCTAAATTTTCATTTTCACATACTTCTATCAGATCGATAAGCTTGCAACGCACGTATTGCGTCTGGCAATTTTGATTTAAAATCATCTTGACAAGAAAAGAAATATTTATGTAACAAATAATAACACATTTTCGTTGATAACCTGTTTCTAACGAATAGATTTTTTAATTGTCAATTCAATGTTTCATGAATAATAACTATATTCTAACTATTATTTTTATTGTGATAGCTGAAAATGTCAACTGATGAATGACTATCTTTAAATGATGTTAGCAACCGTATAAATATTTCCTACACACACACTGAACTGGACAGCTATTTGAATAATTTTGTTTTAACCGAATCAAAATCTATTGATTAATTTTAATCATGTATATTTTAAATGTGACACTACAAGTGTATAGATATGGAAACAAACCTATCAATGGATTCAATTCTTGTTCCAATAGCTCTAAACCGTCTTGTTTTTCCTCCACTATTTCTTCAATGATAATATGAAAGGCAAATTTTTGGATTTTGTACAATTTATCAACAAAATATCTTTTCATATAACAAATAAAATAGTGATTTTACTTTTGATCACACGAAACTACATCCTCTTATCTGTAGGTGGTTGATGAAAAACTATGTTTTGAAGCAGTTATTAGGCCAAAGGAGAGTTCGCACTATCAATACACTCAAACAATGTAACCATATTCTACCTACCTCAAATGACTGATATATATATATATATATATATATGAAATAACATATCACTTTGTGAGTAATAACAGCGTGTATCATCATCAATCATAAATTAAATTGATCATACCGGAGTTTGGCTCATTTATTGCTTGTAATTCTGTTACGTATTGAACTGTAATTCAGAAAACACAAGACGAGAAAATAATAATGTTAACTGGAATATGGTAAGCACAAAATGCGAAAATATGAAGTCGTTGGTTACTGGAATTTGACAACGTGACTGGTAATTCACACAATGTTTTGATATCGTTTCCAGGATGATTGTGTAAATATGCATGATACTCAACTTCTCTAATCCATAAGTGAATCTGTCATGAACTAAGACTACACAGATCTCGAAAAAAAAAAGACAAACTGAAATATTTTGTTTTATTTTTTCTTCCAAATAAAATGTTTCATAACCGATTACGAATCTAAGTATTTATTCTCAATAATGAAATATTCTCTGATTATACTACTGTTTTATTGTGATTCATCTATGTCATGTGGACGTATTCTAATTAGAAATTTAATTTCAGGGATTACTTACTTTCTGCATTGGTGAGCTGTAACCTGGCTTCCCATTTTTTCGAAACTACTGATTTCATTAAATTTTGAACTAAATTAACCAAACACAAAGTAACTGAATTTAATATCTGATTAGAAAAATCGTATAAGATCAATACTGAGCATTTATAGTCGATTACATATCACAGATTTGTGAAATACCGGAGTTACACAATGAAGTAAACATCATGATGAACAAATTTATTTTACCATAAGCTCTCCGGTAGTCTTCTTGTAAGGATGGGTGGTTCTTGATTTCTTCATGTTCAGCTAAAGTTGCAAAGAACGCATTATATTATGGAAACTACAGCTGTTTGAATAACGATCTTGTTGAAAAGAAATGATTTGCTCTATTTCGTCAATAACTACATTTTAACATTTTTGATCAGTGTTCTGTTGATTCATTTTAACTTCTCTTCTTGATTTTAGGAAACAAGCAGTGAAAAATATGTTTCGTCAGTGATTAATATATGAACCTTGATTGTTTATCAGTGTTTTGAGCTAGCCTACTTTCAACAATCTATGTCATGAGATTAACGAAATACGGACGTATAAATTTGAATGGGTTAACAAGCTATGTCTAGGAAAACAAGTACAATCCTAGTAATATGCTAGGAGGTAAAAAGTTGAAATAATGTAACACTGAATTCAAAACAGCAGCTAAAGAATATATGCGTCATATTAAATGTCTTTCAGATCGTGTAAGAGTTTGTCCAGGAAAGTTATCAATCACAATTCGACTAAACTCAAACAACGTTTTTGTCTGTCATTCAACTTTAGGTCATTTAAATGTTAGTACAGAGAGAACATCACTTGAACGTTCTAGTGAAAAACATACTTTGCAATTGTTTAAAATATTCATTGTCCTGGAGATTATATTCTTTGAAAGTGAAATAATTGATTTGAAGCAATAAATGAGAAATTTTCATTTTCATTTAAAAAATTGTGCAACAAATCGATAAGTATTTTAATGAGCAGTGTTTAAAATAGAATGCTTCTTGAACTACAGAGCTTTTTATGGTTTACTAAGAAGAGGAACTGCAATTTAGTTTATGAGTAAAACTTTAAAAAACGATTGAAATGTCTGATTATTGATATTGAAACATCACATTATTGAAATTTTCTAATATAACGTGAAACATGTTTATACACAACAACTGATAAATAATTATGCGGATTTTATTCTAAAACATGACAATGGGCATTTCCAACATATGCTTTTACTCGTATGTAGAGATTTTGTGACAACGTTCACTTTTTGATACTTTTGTTGTTGTGTTAGAACAAGCTAAAATTTTGTTCAAACGCGATTGCACAAATACGACTATTCCACAAGTTAAATATTCATTTTGAAACTAATAATGTATTTCTCAAAAATATTCATCTCATGCATCACGTTCGAAACTTAAAATTAATATTCCTGTATACTGAGACAAATAAATATATTTGATTACAATAACTCGCATCTATTGCGTTAATACAGTAAAAGGGTAAATATAAAATATATGTACTTTTAATCAACTTTTCAACCCAAACAAAATATGATGATTCTTCTGCTGCCAAACATTCTAAATGAATAAAAGTAGTATTTGACGAAAGCGGAAGTAAATTCAAGTTTTTGTACAGCTTTCTAAATTACTATTATCTATGTTTTCTATTAGTTTTGTATTCTTTTCCGTCATAGAAATGAAGCTAGAATTACTTAGGAGTTCAATGTAAGGAAAGTCAAATGTTATTAAACGGTATGCAGTTGTTGGAAAATTCTGAAACCATTAGATGTGTGTAAGGCTTTCAGAAACTTGGTTTATGTAACTTGTGTTACTTCATATAAATTGCAAAGTATTATGCAAATGATTTCGTTTCACATCTTACAATTTTTCATACTGATATTTTGTTCATGGTTGAACTCAGTTGCAAAAGGTCTTCGTGCAAATCATGTTGTCTTTGATGATAATTATTGATAATACAATTCATAATTGTGGATAACCTCAAACGAGCAGTAATAATAAATTATTATAAAGTGCAAGTCATCTGAGCAAATATGAAGATATTTTTTTGCATAAATTCTTTTTCGAAATATGCTTTTTCGTGAATTAGGAAGATGAAAACAGGTTTAGTTTGGAGCAGATCACTTCTACATAACTTTCAATACTTTTAATATGCAACAATTTAAGTCTGCAAAGTATTTGATATTAGAGCACAAATGTTTACCTTTTTCAACCAAAATGTCGTCACCAAGTTTACCAAAAGTTTTTGCTTGTTCAAGAACAATAACTGTTTTTGAATAAACCATAATTGAAATAAAAATAATGCAGATCAGTATACTTAGTTTTAACTGTTTGAATGATCATAATTAGTTGTAGGTTAAAATGTGAATGACGATAACAAATCATCCTACTTTCTCTCTAGTTAGTCATTTTAAAATGTTTCTTTTATTTATTGTGATAACTGTAATATTTAACGTTCAATTTACATGATAAATAATTTTATTGTTTCTTTTCATTGATTTTATCAGGTTGATTAATACATATATATCACGTTCAACTAACGATTTCCTATTATAAATGAAGTTTCAACAATTAATCAAAAGACTGATCAGATCCTATCTGGATTTAAATATCACTACATTCGTAGTATATATTAAGGAAAGTATATCCAAATATAATCGTTTGTTTTCAAATGAATCAGTGTTTTAAAATGTTTATTACAGAAGAGATCAGATTTTGTTTGCCTTAGTTGTTAGATAAAAGCGCAAGTCGAGGTAATTATCAGAGAAAAATTTGGTAGCTTACAGTAGTTTAGTGTCGCTTTTATGTAAGCTTTCATATACTGATCTAAATATTGCGTTACTATTCCTGGAAAATCAAATATTGAAGATGAATAAATTGAAAATAATGTTATCTATACTTCAAGATTTAGTTTATTTGCTACTTAATCGAGCTCAAATGAATTATCCCACCTCTGAGAGAACTGATTTTCCACTTTCGACACAGTTATTACATTTTCGCATCGAAATCGTTATCTAGTAGCTGACATCGAATAAAATGAAATCCATGGGCACAATATTCAACATCTGTCATATTTTCGATTCCCAAAAACCTTATACAGTTCAATAGAATTCTCTCAGTCTACCGGAGACAAAAATTACAGAATAATATATTCGTGACACCTATACGGCGTGTCAAATTTTGTGTGAATAGAATGACCATAAGATAAATCGTATTCAATACTCACCGAGTGAGCCGATATCATCTGCAATAACTGAAACTAGACAATAACAATTTGAACGTAAATAGTTAGTTTGAATCTGATTGTCTGTGAAGATTTGAAGTGATTAATCAAGGTAAAATGCATATTTGTATGTATGTGGAACAATCTTTCGATATCTAATGAATGTATATCTCTGGCACAATATTCAACAGCTGTCATATATTCGATTTCTGAAAAACTTATACAGTTCAATACTCATCTGTCTGTCTATAGTACACCAAAATTATAGAATAATATCATCGTGAAATGGACACGGAGTGCCAATGTCAGTGTAATTAGAAAATTGATAAGCTAAATCGTATTCACTACTCACCTCCTGAGTCTACTTTATCTTTAGCATCTGAACCCAGACATAAACAATTTAAACGTATTTGATTAGCTTGAATATGATTTCTTGTGTGGATGTCAAGTGATAAATGATGGTGAAATAAATGATTGTATGTATGTGGAACAATCTTTCGATATCTAATGAATGTATATCTCTGGCACAATATTCAACAGCTGTCATATTTTCGATTTCTGAAAACCTTATACAGATCAATACTCATCTGTCTGTCTATAGTACACCGAAATTATAGAATAATATCATCGTGAAATGGACACGGAGTGCCAATGTCAGTGTAATTAGAAAATTGATAAGCTAAATCGTATTCAATACTCACCTCCTGAGTCTACTTTATCTTTAGCATCTGAACCCAGACATAAACAATTTAAACGTATTTGATTAGTTTGAATATGATTTCTTGTGTGGATGTCAAGTGATAAATGAGGGTGAAATACATGATTGTATGTATATGGAACAATCTTTCGATATCTAATGAAAGTATATCTCTGGCACAATATTCAACAGCTGTCATATTTTCGATTTCTGAAAAACTTATACAGTTCAATACTCATCTGTCTGTCTATAGTACACCAAAATTATAGAATAATATCATCGTGAAATGGACACGGAGTGCCAATGTCAGTGTAATTAGAAAATTGATAAGCTAAATCGTATTCACTACTCACCTCCTGAGTCTACTCGATCTTCAGCATCTGAACCCAGACATAAACAATTTAAACGTATTTGATTAGTTTGAATATGATTTCTTGTGTGGATGTCAAGTGATAAATGAGGGTGAAATAAATGATTGTATGTATATGGAACAATCTTTCGATATCCAATGAAAGTATATCTCTGGCACAATATTCAACAGCTGTCATATTTTCGATTCCCAAAAACCTTATACAGCTGAATAGACTTCTCTCAGTCTACCGGAGACAAAAATTACAGAATAATATATTCGTGACACCTATACGGCGTGTCAAATTGTGTGTGAATAGTATGACCATAAAGATAAATCCTATTCAATACTCACCTTCTGAGTTTACTCGATCTTCAGCATCTGAACCCAGACATAAACAATTTAAACGTATTTGATTAGCTTGAATATGATTTCTTGTGTGGATGTCAAGTGATAAATGAGGGTGAAATACATGATTGTATGTATATGGAACAATCTTTCGATATCTAATGAAAGTATATCTCTGGCACAATATTCAACAGCTGTCATATTTTCGATTTCTGAAAACCTTATACAGCTGAATAGACTTCTCTCAGTCTACCGGAGACAAAAATGACAGAATAATATATTCGTGACACCTATACCGCGTGTCAAATTTTGTGTGAATAGAATGACCATAAGATAAATCGTATTCACTACTCACCGAGTGAGCCGATATCATCTGCATTAACTGAAACTAGACAATAACAATTTGAACGTAAATAGTTAGTTTGAATCTGATTGTCTGTGAAGATTTGAAGTGATAAATCAAGGTGAAGTACATTTTTGTAGGCAAGTGAAACGAGCTTTTGGACTTCTGTTCACAGAATACAACGTTGGACATGTTTCGAATTCATTAAACTTAGTGTATGATACATTTTTCGTACAGTTATGATGTACGTAGATATACGAAGATATTAGTTCAAAGTATCATTTAAGAACAAGTAAAAGTAATTTCAGACTTTTATTTATATCATGTCACTGACAGGTGAAGTTCTAATATTCTCAACATAAAAATAAATTCTTTTAAACATTTAGACATAAGCAGTTTTAACATTATATGGTATAAATATACTCACCAGTAAACGTGAACAAACAATGTACCAACAGAAGAAGAGATGCCGCGTTCATTTTTCTGACTTGAATTAAAAATAATAGAAATGGTCCTGTGTTTATATACTATTCATTAGCCAATCACACACTGCCATCTCAATTTTGAAGTTCAAATTTAAACAAAAATGATAATCACATTTATATGACGTGTTGTAGATGTACTTAGTATTAGATAAATAAATAAAATAAAAAGAATAAAATAAAAAATAAAGTTCAAAAATTCCAGGGATTATGATAGAGTAAATGGATGTGAATTATATTCTAAAGATAATATTTTCAGCAAAGAAATTTGTTCATGAAACATTTGTTTTACATCGCTATTTTTAGGTGTTCGTTACACGACATGTATTCCTGTCTACGTGCCAGCTAAAATAAAGAAATATGTTCACGCTTGATCCACATTGCACATTAAAATGTTACCTTGATGAATTTAAACCAGTCGGACTATCTCAACTCAATAGATCGATGCAAGCGATTTGCCTAAAATAGGCTTTCATCCAACTGACTCCTTGTTCTAGCAGTATCTTACATGAATAAAATTTTCATAATATTTAATTTGACCTGACGAGAGAAGTTGCGGAAATCTACCCTCTGTGTAATGCGTTTAATTATTTCGGAGCTTAAAATTAGTTTGCAGATGATATGCGGCAGCAAGACATCCTGAATTTACTCCAGCAGAACATAATGAAATAAATTGAGAGGATAAGACTAAGAAGAGTGGTCTGAATAACTCTAGTTTGCAGTTGACATTACAAGATACTGAAAAAAGCTTCACAATTTTTGAAGCTCAGATTGATCACAGAAATCGATTTCAGAAATCTTTGCATTTGTAATCGACGCAGTAAGCCATATTAATATTTAGGAAAACGTTCGCGTCAAAACATAATTTAAAGCGTTAGAATCGACCTTTCAATAGTATAGAAAAAATGAGCAAGCAAACACATAAAATTCAAATAAAACAATAAACAAGTACATTGGGTTGAAAGTTCAATAC